TAATTTGCCAAAAGGAAGTTCAGTTTTACTCGGTGAGTACTCTGGGGTCTGACTCGGATGATGACTTTATCAGTATAGATGGAGGTATTGGACATCCGCCTGTTACTACATATTACAGAATGAAAGCCTTGCTGTCTTCTTTGATTGCAAAACATCAATACTACTGGCGTAGTTTTTCTTGAGCTGCTTATTGGAAAAGGATTTTGCTTTGTTTTCTTAATTTTCTTCTCTTGTTCTACATATGGTTTTCCATTAGCAAGCAATCCAGTTGGGAATTTCTCAAGTGGCCAAGTACTTCAGTACAAAAGATATGTTCGCTTTGTTGAAAATGGGTGTAAGTATGAAGAATACCAAAGCTATATGAAAATAGTTGGAGGTAAATCATATAAAATCACTGGCAAAGATGAGCTCAGGGAATCAAATCAGTTTTCACTTATTAGTACCCAGGGCTATGAGCTTTCTCGCTTAGGGAAGGCTGATGAAGTTTGCAATAAGAGGAAGAATATATTAGATCACTCTTATGGAAGCTTTAAAGGACTTATTAGTATGGACGTGATTCTAATGAAAAAAATTCAAGACAATGCCCTGAAATAAATTCAAGACAATGCCCTGAAATTCGGCATATCTCAATTTGTACCTTCTGTAAGTTTCAACGATAAGATTGTAACTTTGGTATTTTCTTTTGTCAAAAACAACCTTAACTGAATTTAGACATTTGCAACTAGTTACTCTGTTCTGCCTTGCTAATGGTAATATTATTTTCTGTTGGTCTACCATCCAGAGATAACGAAAGTCAACTACTCCGAACTACAGTCCATATACTCCAATAGGCGTTGATGTGTTTGTATGCCCCAATAAGATACATCACATTGCCCAACGTCTTGAGCTTCCCAGAGTGAAAGCAAATGGGAAAGTGTTCATTGTAAACATACATGAATTTTTTCAGAATTGATTTATCTTGTTATGTTTTGTTTATTATATTTTGGCAATATCTAATGATATTGCTCAGCGCCTTGTTGCAGTTGCCTACTTATCATGCTGCAATGTTTCTCGGTGATAGTGATGGAGAGGGGATGAGTCTTGTAATGTATTTCAAAGTTTCTAAGAATTTTGATAAAGACTTATCTCCTCAATTCCAAGACAGCATCAAGGTAACTTCATTTTGTATGCAAATTCATCAATTTGGATAGGTATGTACTTTATTCTGACGTACTCTCCCTGACGGAAATGTGATCTTATGTTCTATTGGACCACTCAGTCTATTGATATATTTGAATGATGCTTTTAGAAAATGGTTGACAATGAGATGGAAAAAGTTAAAGGATTCGCAAAGGGCTCCATTGCACCTTTTAAAGAAAGACTAAAGATCTTGGCTGGGGTGGTAAATCCTGAGGATCTCAGTCAGAGTTCTGTTGAGAAGAAGCTTGTACATGCATATAATGACAAACTAGTTCTTTCACGCCTCCAACACAAGTTTTACAAGGTAAACATTGAACATTTATGTTGCTGAGTGTAAAAAACGGAAGAGCCGCACCGCTATACTCTGAAAATATTCTATTTATAGAGTATAGCTGCGTGGCTATACTTTTAAAATAACTCTTAAAATATTTTGTTTATAAAGTATAGCCGCGTGGCTATACCTTTCAAATATTCTCAAAATTGAGAGTTTCACTAAAACACTCAAAATGAGAGCTGAAATTATAAAAAAATTCAACACCCAAAACACTTTATAAACACACCCAAAACCCATCATTGCACACACTCAAAACCCATTTATAAACACACCCAAAAAATATACAATTGTTGATTTTGGGGTTGATTTTGAATATGTTTCTATGTTTAAATAGTGTTTGGGTTTTTTTTATAAATATATGTCTATGATTGGGTTTATTTATAAATTTGTATATTCTTTTTATGGCGTATAGCCGAGCGGCGATACTCACTTTTAAAATATTCTTTTATGGAGTATAGCCGTGCGGCTATACGCTCTTTTAAAATATTCTATTTTACAAATATACTCTTTAAATATAATAATAAAAATCTGAATTTCTCTGTTGCAAAGCTGAGCCTTGAGATAATGAATCAATTAGACATGATATGTATTTACGTGTGTTGCATGTGTATGAGAAGTGATATAATGACGTTGCTTATATTTTTAGGTGCACCTTGTCATATTTCCTAAATATATTCGAATATTATGTTTTCATTATTATTTGATATTAAAAAAATTAAAAAAAGGTCCACAAAATAATTAATTACTATTTATGAAATCATTAAAATATTTAAATATTCACTAAGGAAAAAATAATAATAATACAATAACTAATTAAAGTAATTAAAAAAGGATAGATATTACTTAATGACATATATATTAAATTAAAGAAACTGATTATTGTCCCAACATCACTTTTAACAAAAAGTGTACCAAACGCCAAACTGCTTTCTCTCACAACAAATCTAATAGTAATTATTTTCACAACACAACAATCCCAAAATCACCCTTAATTACACCTATAAAAGTCACTTTGTCTCATCTTGCCTTTTAAAAGTAGCTTCTCCGTCCCAACAAATAAAAAAATGTAGCTTCTCCGTATTAGTTATCTCCTCATTATCAAGTCCATCAAGAAATTCGTATCTTCCTTGCATGTATGTTAAAAACAACAAAATAAAAATCGGTTATTTAAGAAATGTTAAAAAATATAGAATCAAAACAAGGGAATGCGTGTTCCATATTTCATGTAAGAAGTGTTCATCTCCTTGCATGAATTTTTTTCCACATATGGAAAAATTTCATCTCATTGCCTGTCAAGGGACAATGACAAACTCGGAGCCAAGCCTCACACAAAGAAACATCTTCCATGGTGCTCCACGCCCCTCCGGTTTCAATAGAAGAAGCCATAAAAATAAGAAATAAAATTACAAGGTGAAAGAGATGAAAATGTTGAGTGAAGAGTGAAGAAAATGTTGAGTGAAGAGTGAAAAAAATGTTGAGTAATTGTAGAAGTAGAATAAAATGTATGAGAATTGGTGTTGAAAGTGAAGGGTATTTATAGGTATTTATAGGAAAAAAAATCAGAATTTTTAAGTGTTTTGGACCTGGGGCGGAACTTGCCTTCGGACCAGCCCGGGTTGGTGGGTCCCACACCCCCTGGGCCTGGGCTGCTGGGTGGAATTGGCCTAAAACCTTATCATCTGGGGCGGACCTTGCGTCCGGGCCAGCCCGGGTTGGTGGGTCCCACACCCCCCCGGGCCTGGGCTGCTCCGCTGGAACGAAATTTTTTTTTCCCCCCACCCTCAGGCTGGGCTGATGGATGGACTTGGCCTTATTTCAATTGAGTTTAATGTTGAGTTCTAAACCTTGAACCTCTCGAACCCTAACAAGATACCATAGACTCTAACTCCATGTGTGCTCCGGACGGGACATAAGATATTGTTTGTTTTACCGGGAAGGAACAATCCCCTTTCTTTTGTTTTTTAAGTTTCCTCTTAAAATAAGTATTAAAATGACCATATTAACATTTACTTTTCATATTGAAAGTCTTATAATATAGTATTTTCAGTTATTTGCATAATAAAGTGCAATTAATCATTATTACATAAGATTTGAAGTACGTTCAAATTTCATTACATACTAAATAATAGAGTGGGGGCCACGCATATAATGTGTATCATTTATATTAAATGGGAGAGGTGTTACACAATATAATACATAAATGTGATTTCTTTTTCGGTTCCCGGAGAGGATGTGTAGCGATGGTCCTGTTTCTTTATTTGTTTTATTCTATTACTCTTTAGGAGTTTGTTGTATTTTATTTTAATTCTCAGTAACTATTTAGGAGTTTGGTGTGTTTTGTATTTTAATTTTCGACTGCGATATAGATTTGCCATTTATGCGTTGCACGGTGAATCTATATTGTTAGTGTATGAGTACAATCACTTCAGGCTGTTGAATCAGGTGTTTGAGTATTTGTTGGTTTATGCGTAATTATCTCTAGATCAAATCAACATATTGTTGTGTTTGATAACTGGAGATATTGTACCCATTTCGGCACGTTTGCAACTTTTCTGCTTCATCAATAAATACTATTACTTTTTTTTTATAAACAAAACTAGCCCCTTGGCACATGCTCACGCATGTGCCAATTGTTTTATTTTTATTTTTAAAATAATAATTATTTACAATTTTATTTTTAGAATTAAGAAAATATAATATGAGTAGTTATGTTCTATAAAAATAGGAGCTATTATATGATTTTGTTTTTAATTTTAATTTTTAAAATATACAAATATACGAATTAATCATATTATTTTCATTTAATTAATAATTTCAATTCTTAATGTTTGAATTAACTAAGAGCATTTTCTAATATTTTGAATGTTTCACAATTCTCTGCTTTTTGCTTTATATATATAGATAATAAATAAATTGATCACACCGAAAATTGCATTATAAAATTTCCGAACATTTTTTTAATTCTCAAAATTTCTTTAACAGTTTTATCGATATGAATATTTTCTGGATTTTTGACCAATATTTTCAAAGTTTAATTAATTTATTTCAGCCACAAGAATTCATTATTATACGATGCATTTGGATGATTGCCACCAATTTGACATAAGATGCCATATGATTTAATAAAAGAAGAAAAAGTAGACGGGACCCACTTAATTTATTTTGCCAACAGAAAGGCGGACCCACCCAGAGGAAAGTAGCTCCCACCCAGTCCAAGTCCCAACCGCAATGAACTCCCAGACAGCAATGTCCAAAACTTTCCTCCCAAATCAACGGTACAGATGTCGAAATCTAAAATGACGCAACACAACGGGAGACCAAAGGTATTAGCAAGGGGCCCATAACGGTCCCACACCCTTCCCATCGGTGGCCACCGTTGGATCAAATCAGAACGCATCGCCCTCAATGCTGATCACACACAGGCAGATGTAAATTCATTAACCAAATTTTTTTTTTTCATTAACTAATTTATTCACGCTCCCAAACAAAATAACAAATCCACCACCCTCTCTCTCTTTCTCTCTCTCTCTCTCTCTCATTTTATTTGTCAGAAAAAATGAAACTCAGAAATCTGAACGAGACCACTATCTCTGTACTCTGTGTGTCGCTAAGGTAGTAGGAAGGGCGAGTTACTGAGTGAGCCGAGCCGAGCCGAGCCGCATTGAGCTTAGCTACCTGCCTAAGTAGCCATGGCTGCAGCGCTGGAGTGCTGGTCGAGCCGAGCGAGTACGGATGAGGACATGGTGGAGCAGGTATTGATGCGGACGCAGGACAGATCGGAGGGGGCGACGTCGGCGCCGGAGAGCTCGGCCGGTGCCGGAGTGAAGGAGTCGTCGGCGATGCAGAAGAGGCTGCAAAAGCTGAGCCGGAACGTGTCCGAGGCTATAGCGTCGCTCAAGAACTCGCTGAATCTCGACTCGACAAGTGACTCGGCGACGGCGCCGTTTAACAAAATCGAGAGCTCTAGGAAGTTAGTGTGGGGTAGTGTTGTTCGGAACCTCACGCAGCTCTACCCTGGCAGTCAGCTCCCGGAGAAGCTCGTCTCCAACATTCGCAAGCATTACGATTCTTTGCCCCTCAGGTTTTGAAAGCTTTTAGTTTAGATTGAATCGTTTTTGAATCTATAGCTAGTTGTGAGTTTTTCTTGTTTGGTTTTGCAACACTTTTTGAGCAGCCAAACACACGATTTGGGCTGTGTTATTGCTGATTTTACTTATTTGGTGATGATGGTTTTTCTATATGTGTTGAACAGTTATGCTCAGGCGGGATTCGAGATGAAAGAAGTGTTTCTTCATATAAAATTGATAGAGCAGGCATCAGTGGAGGGCCATCCTGCCATGTTGATTCAAGAGGTGTCTGAAAATGAGACTCAGGGCTCTGTATTCAAGCTCACATTTGCTTGTAATTCTTCGATTTCATGGCCGGTGATGTCCAGTGCACTTGATAGTGAGTCGATTTGCTACAAGAAGATACAGATCTTTGAGAAGAAAGGGTGTACGATTGGAGTTGTTCTTCTTCTGGTCGAAGGCGGGGAAGAGAAGTTGTTCAGAAATCGGATTGAAATTGCTTTGAAGTCAGCCATAAAGAAGCCCAAACCTAGCACAGTGAAGCTCCCATTTGGACTATGTGGTTGTCAAGAAGAGAATACTAAGGGGAGAGAGGTGGGAGATATTGAAGAGGACATTGGTGAGCAAAATTATAGGAACGGAGTTGATATTTCTAGCCAAAAGATTCAGCTTCCCAACCCTCTACCCACTTCGTCATTCGTTGTATCCGTAGATGAATGGCAGACAATACAATCTGGTGGGGATGAGATGGGGAAGTGGCTGTTGAACTCTGATAATCTTGACTTTGTTGATCAGATTGGACCCACTTCATATAAGGGAGTTTACAAGGGGAAAAAGGTTGGAATTGAGAAGCTTAAAGGGTGTGACAAGGGAAATTCTTATGACTTTGAGCTCCGAAGAGATCTTTTGGAGCTCATGTCATGTGGGAACAAGAACATTCTGCAGTTTTCTGGCGTTTGCATTGATGAAAATCATGGGTTGTGCGTTGTGACAAAGTTGATGGAAGGTGGATCAGTATATGACATGATGCTTAAAAGCAAGAAGCTTCAGGTTAAGGACATATTAAGGATTGCGGTTGATGTAGCAGAGGGGATCAAGTTCATGAATGACCACGGCGTTGCATATAGAGACCTCAATACACAGCGTATCTTATTAGATCGACACGGGAATGCTTGCTTAGGTGACATGGGTATAGTAGCTGCTTGCAAAAGTGTTGGTGAGGCTACGGAGTATGAGACTGATGGATACAGGTGGCTAGCTCCTGAGGTTAGTACGATCCAGTGAACTAATAGATAATAGAGCTAAGGATCCTGGTATTTTTATTTCAGAAGTTGAGCTAGCCCTTTAGACCACATTTTGCACAACTATAGCTATAGTGTCATTCCATGCATTTTCTACTTCAAACCAGTTAGAATGAGTTCTTCCATGGCTACAAACCTTTAATCCTGTCAAATTGCATCTTAAAAAGCTTTGGGGACAAATTTACATTGCTCCATTTCCATATACATTGCATACCCAATTGTGCCATAAACTAAATTCACTTCTGTTGCTGTTGTTCCAAGGACTTGCTGATAGGATCGAATTGCAGATAATATAGACATTATTTTGCTACTGCAACTTTACTTGCATAAAATGTGTGTTAGGTTTCACTAGCACTCATGGTAGATTCAATGTATCTAATTCAACTTTTCAGGATCAGTACATTTTGCATTTTCACTAGACACTTTATGTCACTTATCCCGACATAATTGTTTGAGCATGCCTAACATGTCTTCATAATTGTTGATACTTTACATTTCAATATACTGTTTACCTTTATCTTAGCACTCCTCTCCCATAAAACTTTGCCTAACGACTTTTATGCATTCCACTAAATAAATCAGCTTAGCTGCAACCTTATAGTAGTGCTAATTTCTGCAATACAGGTGTTATGTGCGGAGCCCACAAAATGGAGCTTTTAAGTTTTTTAGCATGATCATAATTCAAGGATTATAGCCTTTTGAGATCAATTTTTTGATGCCACTCTATAAACCCGTGTTTTATCTAACTTTTATTAGCTTCTGATAATAATTGGATGCTGCTACAAACTCTGTGTATAAGATACTTGATGATGAAAATAAATTATTTTAAGGTTGTTTGTTTAGATTTGCTTTGATTTAGGTCAGGGGAAATGCGGATGCAGATCACTTAGAACAGAATGATTCATTTTTTTTTCTTTCGGCAAGTTTGGCCTCTTGGGACCACCTTCAGTCACTTTCACTTTTATATATTATATACAGATCTGAATAACTCCAAAATGCTTGAGAAATGTGGTATCACTGTACATTAAAATAGAACTTAGACTTGAAGTTGTTCTTCCTTATAATATATTGTAGCTCATCTGTGATTTGAAGTAATTGTTTTCAAGCTGTTCAGCATACTAGGTGGCATCTTTTATTCACCAAAGTTATGCCAGTTCTTCCTGGGGTTTATCTGATTATTTGTTATCTGAAGACTTAAAATAACAGATATGGTATTTACAATTTTCTTTCATCTTTTTGGTTGCACACAGATCATTGCTGGTGATCCAGAGAGTGTTAGTGAGACATGGATGAGTAATGTGTATAGTTTTGGGATGGTAATTTGGGAGATGGTGACTGGTGAGGCAGCCTATGCCACATGTTCACCGGTCCAAGCAGCCGTTGGCATTGCCGCTTGTGGCCTTAGACCTGATATCCCAAAGGACTGTCCACAACTGCTGAAGTCCTTGATGACCAAGTGCTGGAACAATAGCCCATCAAAGCGCCCTCAATTCTCTGAAATTTTATCGACACTGCTGCGAACCAACAACAACAGTAATAGGTGAGCATCCTCGGCTACTTCTAGTATATCAATACTACTCTTGTAAAAGTTAAAACTACCCCTACTTAGGGAAGTAATCCACGAGCAATGTAGATGCAGAAAAGCTTAATTGTGTGGCTGAAATGAAGAAAAGTCTTCTTTCATCTTACAACGGCAAGAGATCTCTCTCTGATTCTATAAAAGAAAAGAAAAAAAGGAAAAAAAATTGTATATTTTATTGTGTTCCTTTAGGATGTGTGTGTGTTATGATTTCGGTGGTGGGAATATTGAATTCATCTGCCTTGCCTCTGTCATCATGATTGATTAGGCTACGATTAACTTTATATTTAATAATAGAACTTGAGAAAGTATGGGGGGCACGATATTGTCTGTCGGTCCTAAGAGCTGTGTGAGAAGTTGATGGAACTTGGACGCCCTCTTTTTTGTTTTTTTTTTTTTCTGTGTAACGTTATTCATGTTATGTCCCAAAAGAAAAGAAAAGAAAAGGTTGTCTTCTCTTTTATGAACTATCCGAGGGACCCAAGAGGGGTGTATGGACATCTTGTTTTTTTGGTCCCATGAAAAAAGAATCATCAGGGGAAATATCAATTAAGTATTCATATATTGATAAATGAAAAATGAAAAAAATGAAGGAAATTAATAGAGAAATTTGCAAATTTATAAAGAAATTTCGGGATATGTTTTATGTTGTGAGAATGTCCCCACATTGAAAAACTAGCAAATCTTAGAAGGGCTTATAAGAAATTGTACTACTCCCGCATTAGCTAGCTGTTTCATTTTTTTGGTTTGAAATGCACCAATTTTTTCAAAATAGCCGTTGTGGGATTTTTTTAAAATAAAAAAATCTGAACTGTCTATAAATTTCTTCAAAAAATTTCACTCATTTCATTCCACATTTCTTTAAATAATACATAGTAGTAGAATGTATGAGTATTGTGTTATAGTTTTTTTTTCAAAATAATAAAACATGGATGATAGTCTTTTATCATACATGGCTGGAGATGGAAAATTTTAACCGTAAAGTGCCACATGTTATGAAGAAAAGGGAGAAGGTCCAAAGGAGTCGGTTAGAGAGAAGGTTGCTAGCATTTCCCTTTTTAAAATAACAATATTTTAGGGTGCTAAATTGTAGCCATTCATTTGGCCTATAGCCCATGATTGAAGATGACATCATCGACAAACTAGACGATGAATGCTCAACTGAGGTCGAGAAACTACGTGCTTTAGAAGGACAAGATACATCAAAGTGAGATTTGAGCTACGCAAAGAGTTACACAATTTTAAATAATGTAGTTTCTCGAACAAAATAAATTAAAATTAAAATTCTTACATATATACACACATCAAGTATGACTTGTGAAACGAATTAGCCAAAACATGAATTAATATATCAAGTGTTTTATCATAATAGAACATAGTATACTGTACGAATTATATATATAAAACATGTTTTACTCAAAGGCATTAATCATGATGCGTCTTCTATCTTTCCTCATTTTTCTCAAAGAGGTATTTGGAACAAACAGACCCCGTGTTTTTGAGCATAAATGTTTCAATCCTGTAGAATATCCAGCTAAAGGGTACTATCACCAAAATCTGAATACGTTATTATGACGAGTATTATCTAAAGAGATTTAATCTTTTGGATACGGAAGTGAAGTCATCAACTCAACTACACATCTAAATTTATAGAAGAACAAAATATTTTCTATATATGGGCTAGCACAATGTTGGAAGACTAGTCATGAGGCCAGGGGTTTTGCATCGTGCACAAGTTGTCTATATATAGCAAGCTTAGAGATTCGCAGAAGTTGTTCTCTCAATCGAGGAACTATAATTTGGATGAAAGGTTGCCTTTTGAAATATTCATATACAAATTTCTTTGGTGTAATTGACACGAATAATGGGGTTTATAAGACAAATCCCAAACTCAATGATCAACCTGAGTTGATTAAATCTAATGTTCAGAAGTTGCTTACGCGATTAAATTTTAAAGCTTCTGGTGGACTGTTGTATGCTCAGGGGATGCGAGTATTAGACAAAAACAATATTTATGCTTCGATTGAATGCTCAGGGGATCTTTCTAGTGTAGATTGTAAGAAGTGCCTTGATGTTGGAATAAGCGAACTTTTAGATCGCAATTATAAAATGAGAGGTGGATGCACTATTTATGGAAGTTGTTACATCAGATTTAAAATTTGCCAATATTAATAGGTGTTATTTGTTTTGTAGAATATTTTTTTTTGAGAATGCCAAGTCTCAAATTCATTCCGGAAATGGTGATAAACTATTCTCATCACAATGTTTGTAAATGCTAGTTATGATAATCAAACAATATTTTCAATTGGTTTTCTAAGCTTAATTTCGGAAAAGTTATTTTCACAAATGGTTCATGAGGTTCACAAAATTATCACCTTTGGTCTTTTATGTTTTCTTGTGACATGGTTGGTCCTAGGTAGGGATGGGCGCTCAAATTGGAAAACCAAGCTGAATTGGACTGAAAAAATGGGAAAAATTGGGTTGACCAAAAATTAGATCGGACTAATTTGGTTTGGTTCTAGTTTCAGTTCTTATAGTGAAAAAACCATACATGCCCGAATGTGTATTTTTAAATTTTTTAATAAAATAGTTAAGCAAATGCTTAATTTCTAAGCCCATAACTAGTTATTGGGGAAAAATCCATGTGGTGTGGTGTCATTGGTCATATGTGCTCCACTTACGTGCTGCAAAATCAATTTAACAAAATTTTGGATGAAACCTAACGACATAGACTAATTTTGGACGAAACCTAATGACATAGACTAATTTTGGACAAAACCTAATGACATAGACTAATTTAAAAGCTGTATTAATTTCTACTTTGTTTTATAGCTAATGTTTGTGGTTTCATTGTCAATTTTTGGTCTGTATGGGAGAGAAGAAGATGAGAAGAAGAAGAAAAGAGATATGCAGACGGGAGAAGAAGAAAAGAGAGAGAGAGATGGAGAGAAGAAGAAAGAAAAAAAGAAAGTGATGCTAGAAACAAACGGAAGAAGGAAAAAAAAGAAAAGAAATATAAGTGATTGGAAAAGTTTTGGAGGAAATATTCCAAAGTTTTATTTAATAAGGTTTCTTTTTTAGGTTTATGTATGTTTTAAATTTGAGGGCATTTGTGTCTATTTAGGTAAGGAGAATTTATCAAAAATAGCCAAAACTTGACTATTAATTTAAAAAATGTCAGTTTTTGCACAAAATTTCAAATATAGCAGAAAACTCACCTAAATAGACAAAAATACCCTCAAATTTAAAACCAACATAAACCTAAAAAAGAAAACCCTATTAGATTGGAAATCTTTGTACGTAGAGTTTGTTCGCAGACTTATTGCTGCCAGTGCAGTTCTTCCTTGGTTCTTCGTTCAATTTCTTCTTCGTTTCTTCTTCATACTATATTTATAAAATTTCAATTCTAGTTTTGCTGATTTAATGTCCATGGTTGCGACATTTATGTTAATGGACTCTTGAGCCTTATTCAAAGTGCTATGATTTAATATTGTCAATTCACTTTGAGCCTACATCAAAGGTTAGTGCAGATAGGCTTGGAAAATTATCGAGTCTAGTAATATGATGATTATGACATATGTGTAGCAGAAGATGTAATTACATGCTGATGTTATTAGTTCATCAGTATGGACCTTTGACTAACTTGGATGCGTCTAAGCTTTATTTGGTATCCATTAAGTTTTGTAATTTTTCTGTTTCAAATGTTGAAGTTCTTGCTTTTACTTTGAGTGCCAAGAGAAAGCCAGTTTACAGAGTTAGAATACATCAAATAGAACTGCAAAGCTAGTGTGTAGGCTATTATTAAACGGTATGGAAGGCTAGATTTTGTATGCTGCAGATTACATATTGCAGATTATTAAGTATTATTTATTTCACTAATATTGTGATGGATTGATACATTTAGTTATAACTTAATAAATAGTAGTAATATAAAAGTTGATATTTGATATCATTGTAGACTGATCATATCTCTATGCTATTTCTAATTTCAGTTTTGTTCCATAGTTTAAAAGCTGTATTAATTTCTACTTTGTTTTATAGCTAATGTTTGTGGTTTCATTGTCAATTTTTGGTCTGTATGGGAGAGAAGAAGATGAGAAGAAGAAGAAAAGAGGGGGAATGCTAGCAACCTTCTCTCTAACCTTCTCCTTTGGACCTTCTCCCTTTTTTGCTTGACATGTGTCATTCTCCTTACACTTAAAACAATGTCATTAATATATTATGCAAGTTAACTCTTGTTTTCCAAGTTTACCCTTTTTAAATGTATTCAATTTATCCCAAAAAAAATTACAACTTTTTTACCATCTTTTTTTTTTTTAAAACGTCAATTATTGTTTTAAAGAAAATGTTTGCTTTTTTCAAAAAAGAGAAAATGTCCCCTTTTTTAAAAAAACACAAAGGACTTTTTTTTTTCCTATCTAAACCCTTTGTGTTATTAAAAAAAAAAAAGGGGACATTTCCTCTTAAAACCATATATTTTCTTTAAAAAAATTAATTGATGTTAGAAAAAAATTAATAAGATGGTAAGAAAGTTGTGAAATTTTTTTGGATAAATTGAATACATTTAATAAGGGTAAACTTGGAAAACAAAAGTTAGCTTGTATAATATATTAATGACATTGTTTTAAGTGTAAAAAGAATGACACATGTCAAGCAAAAAATGGAGAAGGTCCAAAGGAGAAGGTTAGATAGAAGGTTGCTAGCATTCCTCAAAAAAGAAAGAAAAATAAATAGAAGTGATTGGAAAAGTTTTGGAGGAAATATTCCAAAGTTTTATTTAATAAGGTTTCTTCTTTAAGTTTATGTAGGTTTTAAATTTGAGGGCATTTGTGTCTATTTAGGTGAGTTTTATGCTATATTTGAAATTTTGTACAAAAACTGACATTTTTGAAATTAAGAGTCAAGTTTTGGCTATTTTTGATAAATTCTCAACCTTAAGTACCAACGATGTCGCCAGCTGGGTCTAACTCAATGGAAAATGACATTGATTTGCATACTAGAGGTTTCGGGTTCAAATCCCCACGACATCATAGTTTTGTGTGTCTCCCTGTAGTTTAGACTATCGTTTGTACTAAAAAAAAAGTACCAACCATGTAAAAAAAAAACATAAATGACTAAGGGTGATAATTTTGTAAACCTCAACGATCATTTGTGAAAATAATCATTTTCAGAA